CACACACACACACACACACACTAATATATACAGTATCAGTAAAAGTAATCACTGTTTCCACTTCAATAAAACATTTAGCAGCCAACCACGCCTGGATTTTCTTTGACCTGCTGCCACTTGCACACTGGCAGAGTCTCTGCTGCGCCCCTGCAACTGACAGCTCTATCTTTCTACATAGAGTTTGCAGGCTACTCCAATGTTGGATTTCTTTTCATTATAAATCAATTTCTAATAAATATTAGACAGAAAATGTATCTAAAATGCCACTGTCTCTAGAAAATTATATAAATAAAAATAAATAAAAAATTTTTCATGTCTGTGACATGACAACATTTATTCAGATTCAGCCACGGCACAACTATAGTGGAAGGTGCCAGTTTGTGTAATGTTGCTGATATGATCTTAATATGACTGTCAACAGGTGTTTTCCCTGTCTATCTTTTGCTAGGAGCCACATGTGTCACGTGTGAAAAATAGGCGAGATGCCGAATCTCTAGATCACACGATGCAACGACAAGGTGTGTGAGATGCGCATGTCACGTAGGTCGTGTGTCTACTCTTACCTGTAAACATGGGCATCAAAATTAAAACCAAGATGTTCCACAGCCACCAGGCACACGCCATGCATCCAGTGTGTTCTCGGCCTTACACATTCAAATAAGCAAACATCCACAAACGCACACATACCTCTGAGTATAACCATGCTAATGGAGGAGGGCCACGCAGCCTGCATGAAGTCCAGCAGCAGAGGGCTCATTAGGTGTCGCACTGGCTCCAGCTGCTTGATGGAGGAGATCCACATGGACATGGGTCTGTCCTGCGCCTGCTTCTTCACCCTGATGTCAAACACAACAATTAGAGAATAATGAGAGTGGAACAATTAATGAATGCAGATAAGGGCGTGTTCATGAACAGAAACTCACTTGTAAGCTTTAACAACTGCGTCAGGCCTGTTGCAAGCTGCCACCAGGACATAGACGGTGTCAGTAGGCATTCCACATATGCCGCCGTTTTTCATGATTTCTGCAGAAGAGAAGACAAAAATCTCACATCACATACATAAACAAATGTTTATTTTAGAAATCATCATTGTTGTCTTTTATATCTCACCTGCAATCTGCTGGAC